CTTTTTTTTTTGGTTTGGTCAACGACAATACGGTGCTTCATTTCAAACCTCACAAGAGAGGTACAACAAATGGTCTTTGGACTTTTAGGGAGTAGGGTGTTAACGTTATGAAACTTTCGTTGACTGCGATAAAGATGTAGAGAGACATCTTATATCATTCAATTAACGCAAACAAATGGATAGAAGGGATTTGAAAAATCATTTAGACCACAAAACCCAATCAAACCGTTTTACAAAAAAAAAAAAATACACAATCAAACCAACTACATTTTTGTACAAATACATTCATATCCACCACCAACATTGAACCGATCTTCCTTGACCTCGTACCACCTAGACTTCAACCCCAAACCTATCACTGCCGTATATTTACGGATTATATTTACCAGTTACTCATAATTTCATGTTTAAAAACAATTAGTCAGAAGCACAAAACAATAAGTCAATTTCCATACACGCTTGATTAGCATCTTACCACTATCAACCAAATATTAACCAAGTTATACTTCCCTTACATACTTAAATATTGTTTTAATCAAGGATTTAATGACATAAAGATTTTGGCTACATTTTGATTACACTACCTAAACCAATTGTTGCAGTTTTATTGTGTGTTTTCAAAGGGTCTAAGAACATCAAATGTTATTTTAAAGAAATTTATGTCGACAAACTGAAACTTGTATAAACAGAGTTGTGGAGAGTGTGGGTGAAAACGTCGACGAAGTAGTAGAAGGAGACACCGTACTGCCGACATTCATGCCGGACTGTGGTGACTGTGTTGACTGCAAATCTCCAAAGAGCAACTTATGCAGCAAATTTCCCTTCAAGGTATCACCATGGATGCCAAGATACGAAAACTCAAGTAGATTCACTGACTTGAATGGAAACACTCTGTTCCATTTCTTAAATGTCTCGAGCTTCAGCGAATACACTGTTCTTGATGTCGCTAACGTCGTTAAGATCGATTCTTCTATTCCTCCTAGCCGTGCTTGTCTCCTCAGCTGCGGAGTCTCCACTGGTAAGTCAATAACATTGTAAGAGAGATTTGGCATTTTTTTGATTACTAATGAATTTTTATTTAGGTGTTGGTGCTGCTTGGAAGACTGCCCAAGTTGAACAAGGATCAACTGTTGTGATTTTTGGACTTGGTTCTATCGGTCTAGCGGTAAAATCGAAAAATTTAGTAATAAGTTATTTTAATTTTGAGGTGATGAGTCTAAGGTTTGTGCAATTTTAGGTTGCAGAAGGTGCAAGACTTTGTGGTGCCTCTCGAATCATTGGTGTCGATATAAATGCTGCAAAATTCGAAGTTGGTTAGTGAACTTATTTAGTACATAGCTATCTTGGAAAATTTGTTAAATCATAATTTGTTTTGTATATTAAATTAATCATAAATTGCTAAAATAATCTATCATCTTTTTATTTTGTAGGCCAAAAATTTGGAATAACTGAGTTTGTAAACTCGATGACATGCGAAAACAAGCGTGTGAGCGAGGTAATTACACTTCACAGCTGCTTAATGGATAAACATCTAATTAAATAATATGATGGATTTATATCTTTGTATGTTTTAGGTGATCAATGAGATGACTGGTGGAGGAGCAGATTATTGTTTCGAGTGTGTTGGAAGCAGTGCTTTGGTTCAAGAAGCTTATGCTTGCTGCAGAAAGGTATGATCGCACTGATATACGCCTAGAAACAAACTATAAGGTTCAGAATTTTTAATTTTTGGTGGACTCAACGTATAGGGATGGGGAAAGACAATAACCTTAGGAGTGGACAAGCCAGGTTCACAAATTTGTTTAAACTCGTCCGATGTTCTTCACAACGGGAAGACTCTAATGGGTTCGTTGTTCGGTGGTTTAAAGGCCAAATCACACATTCCTCTTCTTCTTAAACGCTACATGAGCAAGGAGCTTGAGTTGGATAAATTTGTGACACACGAGATGAAATTTGAGGACATCAATGATGCGTTCCAGTTACTGATTGACGGGAAATGCATCAGGTGTGTGTTGTGGATGGGCTAATGGCGTTGACCTATTTTCTATCTCTTCATCTATGTTACATGTTCTGATGTTCATGTTTTCTTATCATGGTTTGTGATAAAACAAAATCCAAAGAATAAATATAAACAAACACCATAAAAGCATGTTTAAAATGTTCTAACGTCTTATAAAGAGAAAAAAAGTTTATTCTTTTTATTGCATAGCGAGGATGCAGTGTTACTAAAAAAATGTGCTAACATGCTTATTCTAATCAAAGATTTTTTTTTGAAAAATTATTCTAATCAAAGTTTCAATAAAAAAAACATGCTTAGGCTAAAAGACTATGTGGCGTTCGTAAAATTACTTACATACTGAATAAAAATATAATTTATTTATACGGTTAATGCACAGATTAAAATTATTAAAATGTATAGTTTATCTTGTTACATAAAATATTATTAAATAAACTAATTTGAACAAAAAATATTGCATTATATAATTGGTCAAAAATGATTACAAGAATGAAGTTGTTATATTGTTATAAAAAGTTTGCCATGGAATAGTGATGTGTCATATGGAATAACTTATATAGAAATATTCTGGTTGATAATTTTCTTTATAGTCATATAGACAAAGGTTAGAGCTTTAAAATAAGTATTATAGTATTTATAATTTGTTGAATTATATGATTAATAAATAAAACTATTTCGCCATATATATATATATATATATATATATATATATATATGTCGTCAAAAAAAACATATACATATATGTATATATTTTTTTCTTATAATAGAAATCATCCCGAAAAGCATAAGCGTACAATAATCTCTATAATACAATTAAATATTATTTCCTTTTTAAAAATTTCCAAATAACAATATAAAATAAAAAGGAAACATTTATAAAATTTACAAAACTATTTAAAAACGAAAATATAAGTATATATAATATGGTTTAATAAAAAAAGGAAAGTTCACAAAATAGTAATAATTAATTTAAATATATTTTCAATAACATAAAATATACCTTTGAAGTAATAAAATACTTTATATCTATATCTTCTTAGATAAAAAAATATCTGTATATAATGAGATTTCATAAATTAAATTTCACACAAAAATATTGCTATTAGAAAAAGAAAAATTTTTCCTTAAAAAAATAATTTAAACAATAAAATATATATATTTTCAAAATAATTATGATTACATAAAATAATCAACTAACATAAACTGATATTTGTTTAACTGACATTTTTTTATAATTAGTATTATTGAAATTATTTTTAGTATATTTATTTGACTATAATATCTTACAATTACAGTAAAAATATAAATTCTATTTTACTTATATACTATAATTTCTCAAAAACAATCACTTTTTACTGACTATTTTAAGAGATGCTAAAAATAAAACTAAAAATAAATTTAATGATAAACATCTTTTGATCAAGTAACTACAATTATTTTAAAATATCATAACACTATATAATTTAACGAGGTAGATATATTATATTTTAATAGTTAAAATTATATGTTCTAAGAATAAGGATTCTGATTTACTTAAGTATTTTGATTATGGTTATATTAAGTTTCACAAACATAAAAACAGAAAATAACTACAATTATTTTAAAATATCATAACACTATATAATTTAACAAGGTAAATGTATTATATTTTAATAGTTAAAATTATCTGTTTTCTTAATAATCTTTTGATTTATAATTTTTTGTTTTTATGTTTGTGAAACTTAATATAACCATAGTCAAATACTTAAGCAAATCAGAATCCTTATTTTTAAAATTATTTAAAATAAATTTCAGTTTACCATCCAAACAATCTAAAGCATAAATTTATTTAGAATTTATAAAATATGTTAACTATTGTAAATATTGATATGTGTTCAAAAATCTTCTAGAAATTCATTAGTTACTTATGTATGTAATTTAGAATCAGAAACTTTAGTTTTTATTTTTTTTCCTTCTAATCACAAAAAAATCTTAAGTTATATATAATGTTACTAAATATACTTATATTTCTAAGATAACAACCAACATAAATGCAAATAAGACAATTAATCAAAAATTTAATATTTTAAAATATAAAAGATAATAGTTGAATTTAGAGAAATAGATAGAATCCAATATATCTAAATGATAACTAAATCGACCGTAAAAATAATAAAACATACTAAATATAACATATCTAAAATTATATATATAATTAAAGTAATATAATATTATAACATAAATTAGACATACAAACTATAAATTAATTTAAAAATTAAAGTAAATATCAATCCGTTATTATTGTATATTTATTTTATAAATATACATGTCCGTGCACGAGCACGGGAAAGTCACCTAGTATATATATATATTTGGTGTCATATTGGGGAATGAGTATCATCACCTAATGTGGCTAGTTAGTTTGTTACAAAAAAGAAAAAGAAAATAACAACAATTTCGTGTAGATTCGATTCTTTTGGCATTTTCCCCTTTAAAGTGCAACTAAAAAGGCATTTATCCTCCCTACGTATGTTCGTAGAATCACGGATCCATTACGCGTTCTTGCAACGCTAAAATACTACGTAACGAAGGAAGATATTCTTATCTCTCTCTGCCTTTGACCCCTATATTTTAGTATATTTAACAAACGCCCTATAAGTACTGAAGACTTGTTCGAATTGAAAATCAACTTATTTATTATTTTTTTTTTTTGAAAATCAACTTTTCAATTAGCCATTCAATTTGACTAGATAATTTAATATATTTTCAAAATATTCATTAATAACACAGTACTTGTCGTTGTCTGTCTTGAAAATGTGTACCTCAATATTATTTATAAAGATTAATTGCCAGATTATGATTCATGCTCAAAGTAGGAGGACTAAATATGAAATATGCCTTTTTAGAAACTTTGCCGCGTAAGGATATATCTGTACGTGTGTAAAGCAAACTCCTCAATATATATCTTCAAACACCTTCGTTATTTTTTCTATCTTCCAATTCAGTTTCAACACTTCTCTCGGGTAAAAAAATCTCTCATATTTTTCTAGTTTTTAGTCTACTCATTGATTACGATGATGTAGTTTATGTTTGATCCCCGGATGAAATCTTGACATAATGTTTGGTTTGTGCAATTTGATTGGGACTACTTACGTTGATATCTAAGCTAATCAATGATTCATCAAATTCCTGGTTTAGCTCGTTTTTTTTCTGCTTGATCGCCAGATGAAAGCTTGAAGTTCACACTTTGTTTGTGCAAGTTTAATGGGGTTGGATTATGTTATTTTTTATCCTAAAGTGGTGTTTATTGTCTTTTATTTTTGTAGGTGTTGATTGAGAGAACATGGGTGACAAAGACAGAGGGTTTCATGGGTATTCATCCTCTGGATACCCGCCGAGTCATGGGGCTTATCCACCTGCTGGATACCCATCGCATCAAGGTTACCCTCCACCACCTGGTGCCTACCCTCCAGCTCCTGGTTACGGAGGTTATTCTGCATCTGGTCATGCTGGTTACCCTCCTACTGGCTATCCTTCGCATCACTCGGGTACTGTATTTCCTCCGGCTAAATGCATCTGTCCTCCCTTGTAGTTTTGCTATATTGTTAAGTGTTGTATGTCATTTTAGAAAGTGGAGTAGTCTATATGTTGTTCGAAAAACGGAATTTAGTATCACATATTTGCTAGATTTTACCAAAAAATATATTCGCTAGATGTCAACTTAAAAATAATTTTCGATGGTATTTTTGTCTATATGTTCGTTGTGATAAACCAAGATTTAGTATCATATCGGATGTTAGATTTTACTTTAGAAAGAGGATGAAAGTATGAAACATAGAATTACCTGATATTGTATTATTACTATTATTTTTTTGATATTGTATTGTTTTCCTTTTATAAAGATAGCTTGTAGATTCTGTTACGCTCTATATATCCCTTTTCGGTTTTTTACTTCGTCTAATTTGCTTTGACTTGTTTCAGGACACGCAGGAGGAATCGGGGGCATGATTGCTGGTGCTGCAGCAGCCTATGGAGCTCACCACATAGCTCATAGCTCTCACAGTCCTTACGGACACGCTGCATATGGTCACGGTTATGGCCATGGTCATGGTCATGGTCATGGTCATGGCTATGGTTATGGTCATGGTAAGTTCAAGCATCATGGAGGCAAGTTCAAACATGGGAAGCATGGTATGTTTGGAGGAGGGAAGTTCAAGAAGTGGAAGTAATCTGTCTCTCTGGACTTACCAGATGTTTCAAATAAATCCCAAACATATAAGTTTAACTCTTGTTGGTTTAAATATCGCTGGTTCGAATTGGAATAAGTCAAAACTTCATAATGAATATGGTACTATATGGACGTGTACTATGAAGCTATCTATGGCTTCTTTTATAATGACATACTGCTTTAAAAGATTTTATATGTTATGTTCTTGTATATATATTGGTTGACTTTGCTTACATATAGGCCTATAGTAGGTAGAAGTCATGAGTATGATCAGGTGACCTATAAACTAGTTTCTGATTTCTTAACCAACATATGGGTGTATTCAATCAGTCATTTAAAAAATAAATATGAGTTTCGATATGTAGATAATTTGGGTGATTTCCTTAAAAGAATGTTGTAATTTATTACTATATTTTTTTAGTAGTACCATTTGAAACAATGAAAATTCAATTTATTTACTTGAATATATATATTTCTTTTAAAACACCTGAAAATCATTAAAAATAAAACAATGCTTATTAATTTTTAACAGTGATAACTTTGATGCTACTTTCTAGTATTTGCTAGTTCAATCACTTCACACTTTAAAAGACATTTACAATTATTATTATCAACAATACAATTTTTCGGGAAATTCTCAAAAAAATATTTAAATAACAAAAATAGTTATTTTAAAAATAGTGGATTGGATCTATTTATACTATTACTTGTGAAGTGATCTTTTTCATTTGAATTCCCACGTTAAAAGTTAGAGTGGTTAATAATATCGTTTATATCCTTAATGCATAAAATATATAAATTAACTACAAAATAAAATTCAGATTTATTTTAGATTAGATAAATTCTTAAAATTATTAATAAGAAGAATTATCTAAAATTAAAAATATATTTTAAAATAAAAGATAATTGTTATATATAGTATGTTGTTAACTGAAAATTATTTTAATAAACACTTAAAAATTCAAAAATAGAAAACACATAACTAAATATTTATCAAATAAAATTTCTAATTTTATATAATTGCAAAGAGAACATTAAGTGATTTTTAAGATTTATTTATATATATATAGTGTACAAAGAAATTTTCAAAAAATATATAATAAGTAAAAGTTTCAAATGAAAACATCAATAATAATTTATCATTATAGTATTTTAATTAGTAATGCATGTATTAATAAGTAATTATAAAAATATATATGTTTATATATGCAGACGAAACATCTAATACACCTTTAAAATCAGAGCTGCTTTTGGAGAACATTATATTTAAAATATCTTCCTCTTCTCAACGGCGTTCCTTTACACCTAGATCTCTCTGCAACTCTCCCCCTCCCCGGTGATCTTTAATTCTCACCGCCACCGGATGGATTCATGGGCTCCCCCTCTGTGTTTAGGCTCTTTAGTTTCTCTTTTGCTTTGCTTTGTTTTGTTTTGGGGATATGTTGTCGATAAGGGGACAAGTGAAGGCGCGTGTTGAATAGTGTCTTCGTGCGCTGATGTTGATTCATGGCTAATTTGGTCTTGTTTCATCTTCAGTCAGACCCACGAGTGGTGGAATTTTGTGTGGAAGAGCAGGAGCTTATGTGAAGCTTTTTGTTATTTAAGGTTCGTTCGGAGTGATTGGTTCGCTATTGTGAATGGTGCCAGATTGGAGATCGAGTACCTTTGGACGAAGCAGTGTAACTGCTTGGTGCAGTACAGGTGCTTTTGCTGACAGTGGTGATGTTCTTCATCTCTACTTCTAATTCTCATTTTCTCAGCTCGAGGTTAGTCATGGTGCTTTGTTTCTGAGACAAGGTTTAGCTGGCTTACTTTTCAGCTTCCCTTCTAGTTTGGATCCTATTCCTTAATCTTTATAGCTTGATGTTGTTTTTCTTTGTGACTTGGTTTCAACACCAGTGCACGAAAAGGCTATTCAACATGGGCCTTCACTTGCCTCCAAATCAACAACCTATCTTTAGAACAATGTAAAGCAAAAGAGAAACTAGAGAACCAAATTATAGGGAATGAGCCGGCGAATCCATCCTCAGTGGATGTGAGAATCAAAAACCACTGGAGAGGATCTGATCTTGTTTATATACATCAAAGATTTTTAGTATAATGTTAAAAATTGGAAGGCTATCATAAAGGCACTAGTAAAAATCTTCGCACAGCCACGACCTTGTCACGGAAAAATCTTGGTTAGAATGAAAATACTGTGATTTAGCCAAGGTTTAATCATGTTAATGAGTTAGCTACTATTTCCGAAAGACATCAATTAAATCGTGGCTATTTTGGCTACAATTTGACCACAAAAATTACCGTAGATAGAATAGCCACGAAAAAGTAGTGGTTAGGTAATTAGCCACGGATTGGGTACAAAAAATTACGAAGGGCTGTAGTAAAGGGGTTTAGTTTACTTCTTACTGCTCTTATATCAAGTGAATCTATTTTAAGTTCGGTTTTTGTTTTTAGGGTCAACGAACTATTTTTCCATGAAATGTATTGTATAACACCAAATGTCTCACAAACTATGATTTCAACTCAGATGTTCCCGAATTAAAAGTTTGCAACCTACTTCCCCATGAAACTTTAGCTTAACACTTATCTTTCCATGGATTAGAAGTTTGAAATCCCTGACCATACGAAATTACATTACTTGGTTTAAACCTATAAAGTAAAACCATTTTGGTAAATGAAACCATTCTTAGACCAAAAAATGACCAAAATAAAATCCAATTACATATATTAAACGAAAAATTAAAAACCTTGACAGGACGAACTCATTAACTCGTGAACCAAGACCCGACTTCATTCTCATTTCGAAATTAAGAACCATAAAACGAAGGTTGAGAAAAAAACCCCCAAATTACAGAAATAAACACAAGAGAAAAGAGAGAAGAGAGACACAGAATTGAGGATTGAAGAAGAAGGAAAAGATGAATGTCTTTTGTTGTTGATGCACATTTGATGACCACAAGAAGTCCCCGACACGGTATTTGAAGACCCAGACATCACTCATTACTCTTATTTTCAGAATTTTGGATCGAAGTTGATTAATCGTTTTTAGGGTTTATAGAGGAACTCGATTTGAGATTTTAAAGAGAGTGGGTCAAAGGGTCGGGGTCGGGGCCGGGGCCAATCATGAATAAATGTTTAGTTTCGAACCAGTTTTGATTTTGTTTCTGAGTTTTTTAGTTTGGCTCTGCAATTATACCGAAAACCAATATCAAATTGAGTTTAATAGGAAAATAGACTTCGAAATTTTAATTCGGGGACACATAGGATAAATGCATAGTTTGGTAGACATTTGGTGTTATACAATATTTTTCGCGGGAAAATAGTTCGCCGGCCCTTGTTTTTAAAGTCTAATGGTTGTATTATTTATTTTTATAATAATTCAAACGAGTGTGTCATTTAATTAGTAAATTTGACAGAACATTATGGAAGTTCTGGATAGTTTTATATGTGAATAGAAATAGTATGACGATCAATAGAAATAGAAAGAGAAATAGTTCTCTTAAAATAGCAAAATGAAATAGGCTATCCACATATCATCATCTTTCATATCTGAAAAGTAGAGAGATTTACGTTGTGGGTCACATTCCCACTTATTATATCATAAGAAGTCACATTGGACTACTGAAACAGTTTTTGTATGGTTAAATACCATAATACCCTTGTAAAGACTAACTAAAGAGAATTGGGTTTAATTGGGTGTGTCCACTAGCGAAGGTTGGGATTTTGAAATTCGAAAAATTAGGAATGGGCCAGGCACATGTTTATTTGGTTCTCTTTAGGGCAGCCATCTGTTTTCATTCCCGACTAAAGAGCAAAAAGCGAGATTCCGGCATGACGACAAGACAGAGACGTTCATGGAAAGAACCGGCGAGTGGTGAGTTTTTTACTGTTTAACAATTGCGGTTGTTAGGGATTATATGGTTTAGTTTCCTTGTCGAGTTAGTTGGGGTTTATGGTGGTAGGAAGAATAACGGTGTGTCTGATGTTATTTATGTTGGTTTTATAGCGGTTCCAGATAGTGGCGATGGCCCCGACGAGAAATTTCTGGAGAGGCTATTTGCGACGGATCGATACCCCAGCCGGTGATTAAATGTGTACTCGGTGACTGTGAGGGATGTTCTCCGAGGGACACCTGAGATGGATCGGATACTCGGTTCCTATTTCGGAAATTTTTTGATTTACCGGCTCGGAGGTGCAGCTATTCATCTGTTATGCTGCACGCGTTGTTAGAGAGGCAGGTGGTGACAAAGAAAAGGTATGAAGTTTGGCCACTGTTCGATGGTAATCCTTTTAGATTTTTGATGGTGGAGTTTGGGAGTGTGACGGGGCTACCTTGTGGAGAGTTCAAAGAAGTATATTATGTTGATTTCCAACCTCCACCGAAAGAGGATGACTATGTTTTTGGGACAAGTTGTTCGATGGGAAGCATGACATAACGACTAATGGTGTTACAATCTGATGGCGACCATATGTACGGGTAGAAAATATTGTACACGGGTTATGTGTGTATATATGTACGTGTATATTTGATTTGCTGTGTTTGATAGGCGTCTTTCTGTATGTGTACACATGTACAACTGACGGGCCACATACTGTTAGCGAACATATGTACGGGTAGTAACAATTGTACAGGGGATGTGCAGTTATGTACATGTATATTGATATATTTTGTGTTTTTGGTTGGTGTAGCTTATTGTGCATCCAATGATGGAGATTGACGCAAACAAGCCAGATGGGTGAGGGTAATGGGATGATGAGATAGATGATCAGGGAGTGAAATATATGGTTGGGCTCATCGAAGCCCAGCATAATTTCAAGAAGTCCGAGTGGGGAGAGTGAAATATACTGTTAATACATGTCTTAGCTTGGTGGCCTAAAAATTCAGACCATCAACCTGTTAATACATGTCTACTATAACTCTGTGAATCTTCCATTTCTCAGTACGGAGTTTGTTTCTTCTATAACTCCACATACTTCGCAAGCTTCAGCCTTTTTCTCTGCTTGGACTTTGTCTCCAATCGATGATTCTACGATTCTCCGGGACATTAGAATCAGCTATAATTCTGAAGGTGGAGAGAGAGAGAGAGAGAGAGAGAGAGAGAGAGAGAGAGAGAGAGAGCACCTTATTGTGACAAAAGACAAAAGTGAAGAGAGGAAAGTGAATCAATTGGTTTTGCGGTGGATCAAGGTCGCGAGTATATTGGTCGCCATGAACGAAACTGAGATTATACAATATTTAGAGAAAGAGAGATGAAGCGGGAAGCAAGAGTATTCATGAAGAAAGTAAAAACATAAGAGAATTTTGGTGGAAGAAAGAGAATGAGATCTTATATATTTGTAAGGCGATTATATTCTTTAAGGTTTTGAGATTAGTTACGATGATATTAGGTTAAATTAATTGAGATAGTTTGGGAATTTTATATGCTTA